TTTGTAACAATTTGAGGGTGAGTGACATTTTTGGGTGAACTGTCCTTTCTAACATCATCTCAAATGTGAATATGATTTTTTTTTAAATGAGACAATAATTCCTGCTGAAAAGTGGTCGGGGCACTAATGCACTCTATAAGGGAGAATATGCAAATGTAACCCACACTCTCGGAAAAAAAAGGTACAAAAGTTGTCACTGGGACTGTACCTTTTCAAAAGGTAAACTTTTGTCCATTTCATGAGCTAATAAATACATTTTAGGTGTTAATATGTACATTTTGGGTGCTAATATGTACATTTTAAGGGTTAATATGAACATTTAAAGTGTTACTATGTACATTTAAATGTTAATATGTACATTTTAGGTGCTAATATGTACATATTAGGTGGTAATATGTCCATTTCAGGAGCTAATATGTCAATTTCATGAGCTAATATGTCCATTTTAGGTGGTAATATGTACATTTGAGGTACTAATATATTATTTTAAGTGTTAAAATGTATATTTTAGGTGCTAATATGTACATTTTAGGTGCTAATATGTCAATTTCATGAGCTAATATGTCCTTTTTAGGTGGTAATATGTCCATTTTAGGTGCTAATATGTACCACTAAGGTACCAATATGCAGTCTTTGGGTACAAAAGTGTACCTTTTGAAAAGGTACAGCCCCAGTGACAGCTTTTGTACCTTTTTTTTCTGAGAGTGTAGTGCATAATAGAGATGCGCCGATATGAACATTTTGGCTGATGCCGATAACCGGTAATTCTTTAAATTTGAAAGCCGATAACCGGTATATCGGCCGATAAATCTACATCCAAATTCTTATGTAATTTTTGAGAGTCTGATTACAAAACAAAAGTCTCTCCATTAAAATCCCCGTCTCAAACACACAGTTATGATGTTCTCATGATAATGTTATGTAGCCGATATGACACATGTTGCACTGAACTGTATTTTCCTTCAATCATATTTCAAGCAATTCATAATCATCATGTTGAACAGTGCGCATCTGAAGGAAATAATACATTATTTATCGGCTCTAATATTTTAAAAATGAACCGATATCGGCTGATGCTGATATGATGGCCTATATAATGTGTAATAATAATGATTTCATGATTTTTATACATGGGTTTAACAATATATCACAATGCAAAACTGCAACAATGTGTGTAGTTCACCCAAAATAATCAATATGGGTGAGAGAATTCAAGTTGTCAGAGTTTTAGTGTCAGTACTATATTAAACTGCTATATATAATGTATAATAATGCAATGGGGATATTTGTGTAAAAGTGTCCGACATTATTTTATATATCTCTAGTCAGAGACGGCATAAGCGTATTCGTCTGAAATAACTCGGTGTTTTCATCTTCAGAATCATGAATATTGTTATTCTGGCGTCTCTATCGTCTGTGCTTTGGGTCCTGTTCATTTACACACACAATCTAACACCAAAGTTAGCATGTTCAGCTCGGCTCTGACGTCTTGTGTGGTTCTCGCAGGCGCTCGTGAGAGTTGGGAGTTTGACTCTGGGGTCCGAGATTTACAGAGTTCAGATCAAGCCAATCCGAGCTCGCCGTTCCTCCAGAAGCTTCTCGAACCTTCATCCGGGCTTCACAAGCTCCTGTCGAAGCCGTCGGTGGCTCTGAGCGGAAACTACCTGGACCTGGCCAACACTGTGAGTCACAAACACACACACAAACAAGGAGATTTGTGGTTGAAATGTAAAAAAATAACAAATCTTCGGGTCAATCTGAGCCCCTCAGGAATGACTGAAAATGCTTCAGTTCACATAGAAAACCCTAAACATGCTCACAATTCAAACTAAAAATGCTAAAACTTTACCAATAAAAAGATTTTCTATTGTGTGCATGTGTATCTGAATGCACACTGAAGTGTGTGATCAGAATGATTTGGTTTATTAATCATGTTTGATGATTCTGTGAGATTCGCTCTTCAAGAGTAAAACAGAGAAAGCTTGACCTGTGAACCGCTGAACCTTTATGATGCAGTGAGTGTGTCAGGCTGTAGATGGCGCTCTATCTCAGAGTGAGATTATCACTGGGATAAATATGAGCTGTCAGGATTGTATCTCATCATATCTTGTAGCTTTTGTCCTTTCTGAATTCAGTTTAATTTCCTGATGAGATCTTTAGCTTCTGACGAGATGATGAAAGCAAGTCTTTCTGTCACGACACGGTATCAGTTTGCTCATAAAGATTGTTGAAATCGGTTTTCTTTCATGTGAATGCAGACAGCGAGCGATCCGAGCGGGCGTAGGGACATCTGCTCATCAGCTCCTCTTGTTCAGATCAGCCTTCTTGTCTGCACACCCGAGTGCAAATGTAATGCCCTTTTCACAAGATGTAAAATAAGACTCTGATGTCCCAGAGTGTGTGTGTGTGTGTGTGTGTGTGAAGTTTTAGCACAAATACCCCACAGATATTGTTATATAGCATGTTAAAATTGTCACTTTTTGAGAGACTCACCGTTTTGTGTATGTCCCTTTAAATGCGAATGAGCTGCTGCTCCTGGCACAGGGGGCGGAGCTTCGAGAGCTTTTGTCCTTTTACCACACACACACACACACACACACACAAACACTGAACATTTACAAAACATTTAGCCTTTTATGTTCAATCGGAGTCAGACAAAGATGGAGACACTCGTGTGTGTGTGTGTGTGTGTGTGTGTGTGTGTGTGTGAGTGAGTGAGTGTGATAGTGTGTGTGTGTGTGTGAGTGAATATTCAGGGTGGTTTGTTGAGTGATTGTTGTGTATTATCAGCATCTCTTGGCTGGTCTTCTCTGACATATGGCATGTATTAATGTGAGTGACGTCAGAGAGAGTGTGTGTGTGTGTGTTTACTGTGATGGAGGAATGTGCTCTTGGTGTCATGTGATGTTTTAACAGCTCTGCTGATGTGTGGATCAGGTTACCGCAGTAAAGCTGGACAGAATCATTACGGAGGACATTACAGCTCGAGTCGTGTGTGTTTACAGGCTAATTCTGTTTCAGGACGGGTTTAGGGCTTTAGATGTGGATGTTGTGTGTCAGTGGCGGGCTTTGATCTTCTGCTCCTCAGTGTTGGTTTTATTTTATTGTTAAGCTGAACAGTTGCATTAACTCTCTGTTGTAACACTAATGATGTGTGTTGTGAGTTATAATTGTCTTATCTTGATTATTGCTTTCATAGCAACCAGCTTGAGTACCTTAGCAACACCCTAGCAACTTCATAGCAACATCCTAGCAACCAACCGAAGACCCTAGCAACTGTATAGCAACACCCTAGAAACAACCCAGAGTACCTTTACAACTGCATAGCAACACCCTAGAAACAACCCAGAGTACCTTTACAACCGCATAGCAACACCCTAGAAACAACCCAGAGTACCTTTACAACCGCATAGCAACACCCTAGAAACAACCCAGAATACATTTACAACCGCATAGCAACACCCTAGAAACAACCCAGAGTACCTTTACAACTGCATAGCAACACCCTAGAAACAACCCAGAGTACCTTTACAACCGCATAGCAACACCCTAGAAACAACCCAGAGTACCTTTACAACCGCATAGCAACACCCTAGAAACAACCCAGAATACATTTACATCCGCATAGCAACACCCTAGAAACAACCCAGAGTACCTTTACAACCGCATAGCAACACCCTAGAAACAACCCAGAGTAGCTTTACAACCGCATAGCAACACGCTAGAAACAACCCAGAATACATTTACATCTGCATAGCAACACCCTAGAAACAACCCAGAATACCTTTACAACCACATAGCAACACCCTAGAAACAACCCAGAGTACCTTTTACAACTGCATAGCAACACCCTAGAAACAACCCAGAATACATTTACAACCGCATAGCAACACCCTAGAAACAACCCAGAATACCTTTACAACCGCATAGCAACACCCTAGAAACAACCCAGAATACATTTACATCCGCATAGCAACACCCTAGAAACAACCCAGAGTACCTTTACAACCTCATAGCAACACCCTAGAAACAACCCAGAGTAGCTTTACAACCGCATAGCAACACGCTAGAAACAACCAGAGTACCTTTACAACCGCATAGCAACACCCTAGAAACAACCCAGAGTAGCTTTACAACCGCATAGCAACACGCTAGAAACAACCCAGAATACATTTACATCCGCATAGCAACACCCTAGAAACAACCCAGAGTACCTTTACAACCGCATAGCAACACCCTAGAAACAACCCAGAATACCTTTACAACCGCATAGCAACACCCTAGAAACAACCCAGAGTACCTTTACAACTGCATAGCACACCCTAGAAACAACCCAGAGTACCTTTACAACCACATAGCAACACCCTAGAAACAACCCAGAGTAGCTTTACAACCGCATAGCAACACGCTAGAAACAACCCAGAGTACCTTTACAACCGCATAGCAACACCCTAGAAACAACCCAGAGTAGCTTTACAACCGCATAGCAACACGCTAGAAACAACCCAGAATACATTTACATCCGCATAGCAACACCCTAGAAACAACCCAGAGTACCTTTACACCCTAGCCCATAGCGACAAACTTTTTTTTATATACTTTTACTTTTGTGTTTTCATAAGCCAAATTTAAAACTCATTTGCTGAATCGCTCAGTCTAGTAATATGGTGTAAAACTTTTCTGAGAAAAGACTGTTAGGAAGTGTATTGGATCATCAGTATTGAACTCTGAGAGTGTGTTATGGAGGATTTCAGCACTGCTGTGTGTGTGTGTGTGTGTGTTGGGTCAGTATCTGCTGTATTAAACTGTGTGTGTGTGGTTTTCTCTCGGTCTCTTCATCCTCCGCTTGAGCACAGATTTGATTATGAGTATGATCTGCTCTCTGCTAATGTCCTCGTCTCGCTAATGCATGTCGCCGATCCGTCAAAGTCACGTTTACTGGAGCGCCGCAGATCTTCTTCAGGATCGTCAGCTCATGCGGGACCGTTTCAGTTCATCAAGCGTCCAAGAGTCCAGATTCAGTGTTTGTGTTTCGCCTGTTTACAACTTTAACATTTTCTATTTGTAAAGTGTGTGTGTGTTTGAGAGAGAGAAGAGTGTGTGTGTGTTTGTGTGAATGAGAGAGAGTGCGTGTGTGTGTTTGAGAGACAGAGTGTGTGTGTGTGTGTGTGTGTTTAATCCGCTTTAACACACACCGTGTGTAAGTTGATGAGTGGACAGCATTGCTGAGTATTTCCTCCTCAAAACTGCAGTGAACCAAATACAGTCTCTAAAACACACCCCTGTTTCCCGCATCACAAACATGTGACCAATCCCGTGACGTGTGGGCGGGGCTTTTCTCCGCTGACCTGATTTAGGCATGTCTAAGGATGCTGATTGACAACACATGCTCACCATGGGAATGGTTTGAAATGATATTTGTGTGTGTGTATGGTTTTCTCTCCTGCCCTCAGATAAACACACACACACACACACACACGCTTACACACACATACACACACTTTCTCACCTAGATATAGTGGGAACTATGTGATTTCAGATGCAGCCTGTGTGTGTGTGTTTTCACTGTTGAATTCTGGGTAAAGACCCTAGTGTGTTCCAGAAGTGTGTGTGAAGCCATATTGTGAGAGTAATTGTGACATTCCCCGAGTGTGTTCTGATGACATCAGCAGTACGGGGGGTTTAAAGGCTGAGAGGTTTTAATGGCGGTGTGTGTAGGTGACCTCGAGAACACACACACACACACACACACCGAGGGAAACGACTGCAATGCTGTTGTAGAGCGACGTGCTTCTGTGGTGTTCGTCTGTAATGACCAGATCTCATTATTTACTGGGCAATCTGAAGCTTTTCCACCATCAGGCCAAAGCGTTCTCGTTGCTTAAAGGGGGGTGTATTGATCACAAGATGTAAATAAGTCTCTGATGTCCCCAGAGTGTGTGTGTGTGTGTGTGTGAAGTTCTAGCTCAAAACACCTCACAGATATTGTTGTATATCATGTCAAAATTGTCACTTTTGGAGGGTGAGCAAAAACACACTGTTGTGTGTGTGTCCCTTTAAATGCAAATGAGCTGCTGCTCCCGGGTCAGGGGGCGGAGCTTCAAGAGCTCATGTCCTGAAAATGCCATAAACTAATCTTATGTTCTAGAAGTGACGACATGTAGAAGCAACGGGACATTTCTGAACGGTTAGTCGATGAGTTTGTGTATCTGATGTGGAGTTAACTATCTTACAGTCTTTGAGTGTGTGTGTGTGTGTGAGACGGATACAGTCAGTGTGTGAGAATGAGTGTGTGTGTGTGAGACTGATGCAGTGTGTTTTTAATTGTTCCTGACAGAGTGTTTGATGAAGACTCGTCTAACACAATGATGACACACACCTATAATGAAGTATGTTACACAGAGCGATATAATCCATCAGAGAAGGTTCTGGATCACGGCCAGCGAGAACACACACAAGTAAACCATCAGAATGTGTGTGTGTGTGTGTGAACATGAGCAGACTTTCTTCCAGTTCTTAAATTCAGTTAAAAATAAAGTCTGGTCTAGTGTCATTAATGTTGAATCTGCTGCAGTGAGTGTGTGGAAGTGAGAATATGATTTCAAAAATACAGAATATTTGCTTTTTTTAATGCTTTAATGGAGCTTTCATGGGATTTCGTAAGTACACATGACATGTGCAA